AAAGAAGAAGAGTATAGAAATATCATAAACAAAACCAAAGAAAAATATTCCATTACTTAGCCAGTTACCTGACCATATTTTTAAGCATTTCAATTAAAGTCATTCCCATTGGTGTCAGCAAGAATTGACCAACTTATGTAAGTTCTGCAAATTATATAATTGTTCTTACTTAGAATTCTCTTCAATAAAGATATACAATTTAATTTTTGAGACGCATTACGATACAAATAAATAAGTGATACAATACTAGTAACTGTCCAAAAGAGGGAACTAAAAATAGCAAGACGATATTCTATTTAACATATATTGAGGGAAAAGAGAACGAATCATAAAACTCAGAGGATATTTTTCATTATTTAACCACGTAATTTCATCCATAATTTTTAGCATTTCAACTAAAGGCCTTCGCATGGCCGTCACCAAGAAGTGACTAATTCTGCTTATCATTTAGTTACCCTTGGGTATAATACTTTCCGCCAAAGATATACAATTGAATGTATCAGACGCAAACAAGTCAATGTGTTTGGAGTTATAGAGGTTTTTAGTCTGAGTCAAGGATCTCTGTAAATGATCATTTCTTAGCTTACTTTAATCCGCGGCTAATTGAGTTCCCACATTAGAAAACTCTTTTCTATTTATGGCCTTAACATATACTACTTAAGTTTATCGTATAACATTCATTCTGTGGGCTGGGGCAAAACTAATCGCAAAGTTATAATACCCACACTCCCTGTTTTTTTCTCCTTTTCAACTGCGACTCGTGGCTCACACATGCGAGTGGAAGTGGATGGAGTTGGATTCGAAATTGAAGTTGGAGCCGAGGCTGAAGTCAAAGTTGGAGGAGATATCCAAACACCTGACAGTTGACTGTTGGCGCTAACGCTGGGCCTTCGTGTTATTTCTGTAAAGTGACCATTTTTGGGCAGCCAAGTTTCGTGTGAGTTTCGATCGAAAGCGAACGCAATTCCCAACTATTTGGTTTGTCTCGCTAAAATTCTACGGCGTAGTGTTTCGAGAGCTTAACAATTAAGTTCTCGAAGAAGACAGCGTCAACATGTTTAGAATTACGAAATTCATACCCAAGCCAGGCGAAATGTCAATCGCAGAGTCGGTCTTCCGAATTAGCTCCATTACACAGCTCGATCGATCATCGATCTTGGTTGTGAAAACCATTTCAAGTGGTTTCAGCAGCCCAAAAACCCCAAAAAAGCCTTTGTATATATCAATTGAGCTTGAGCGATACTCTCACTTGAGACGAAGCCCAGAGTCGTTTGCTACACGAGTTGCCCGAATCACTTATGAAAATCGCTTGAGAAACCCTTGAAAGCCGACGACGATCAGAGTCGTTCAAAGTTCGTGTCAACATCATCAATTTTGATCAATACGTATGGTCTAATGCTCTCTACCTCTACATCTAAAAATATGCACAGTTGAGGGAAATTAAATGGGATTTTTTTGTATTTCCTTAGAGGGTATTAAGAATCGCTTTTAACAAAACTCAATTAAATAACGAATGGTTGGTATTCAATCAATCGTTCTACAATCATAAGAAAAATATTTTAAAATTAAAAGGTGCGTTCTTAACAATCAGTAAGGTTTTTGTTTCCTGTTTATCATAACATTTTGTTATGCTTTATTTTTTATTGCCTTGGGATGTAAAAGAATATCAGTTTTTAAATATTTTCCATTGATATTCCAGAAAAAGCTAAATTAATATATTATATCTATTAAAGTTTTTCTTTCCTAATTTTAGGTGCTTCAAGGGATGTCCTAAAAATAAGTGCATTAATCACAAAACAGAAAACAAAATTACAAATTTATTTATTTACTTTAACTATTTACTATTTTTTCGACCATAGCTGTCTATGTACATATATCTTTCTCTATCTGCCATTTAAACGACTCCTTTGCCTTCGGGGTCCGATCGTGTTTGAGTTCATCGCATTCGTCTCCGATCGTAGACTCGACAAAAATATGGAAAATTACAATTATTAGGCATTTGGCTTGTTTGTTTATTGGTAGGTGTATTGAGGTTATACGCTAAATGATACATCGATCGTTTGAATAGAGCGATCGAGCAAAACGATCCGGCGCGATCAGCGCGATCGTTCAATTGATTGCCCGCCCGATCGGCCAGCGGACAAGTGAAAATCTCGGGACCGACTGCAAGATGAATGAAAATTGCTGCCTAAATGGCAGCGGACATGATCGAGCCGATCATCACTCCTGGCATGATCACTTTCTTTTCGGTCATTTTGGGCTTTTCAAATGGGCCGGGGAAAATCCCCGAGTGGTGACATGTGTTCGCATGGGAGATGGGTCGCCTCGACTCTTGACCCAGCTGCATAAGCAATTATGATCTTGATGATCCCCGGTGATCTTGATGATCTTCATCATGATCAATGTCCGAGATCATCTAGTTAAGTGACGCCCTAGGGCCGCTCGCTGGCGACCCTGTTTAAGTTTATAAAAACTCATTATAATGTCTTATAAATGCACTTGTATCAAGTGGGATTTCTTGATTGCCGTCTCCGTCTGTGGCACTCCCCCTCTCCCTCTTCCTCTCGCTCTCCCTCTCTCTTTCTCCACAACACCCCCAACTTTGCTTTTGGCCTGATCTCTAGCTGCTCCTTTTCTTGGTCGCCCCGGCTTGGGCACTTGTAAAAAATTTATGGCCAAGTTACTTTTATTTTGGTTCAATTAAAATGGCTTGTATAACTGTTATTCATAAAAAGCCAACTTTAACCATCTTAAATAAAATGATTTATTTTAAAAGTTATTAAGAGTTTCCAACAATAGTTTTTTTCAAATATAATAAACAAAATAAGTGTTTCATTAAAAAAGCAGTCTGGTAATCGTCAGTTAAGACTTGTTTTACAAATTAGACTGGGATCTGTAATTATATTGATGGCAAGGGTAAAAAAAATTGTAATTTGTTGTATTTAAGTGTTTCTTTAAATAAAAGTGTCAAACAAAGATTATTTTAAATATTTTTTCTTTATTTCTAATGAAGCTTACAATAATTCGTAAAACAGCAAAAATGGTTAGTGAAATTGTAATTAAATTTATTTTATTGTTTGAATTAACTATTTGTATTAAACTTTTGAAATATCAAATAATTATTAATAATTGGAAACTGAAAATAAAATTCAACTTATAGTTTAAGATTCGAAATAACTAAACATTTTTGTAAGAATTTATCCTTTTATTAGGTTGAACTAAACTATAGGTGACAAGTCTTATAACATAACTTTTTGGGAATATATATTTTTTGCAGTGTGCTCGCTGGGTGTCTGTCTTTGAGACTGGGCCTTGCTCTCGACTCGAGTCGAGTTGAATCGACTCCACTCGACTCAACTTTTGTTCGGGCCCGGGCTCCCATGCTCTCATGCTTAGACACATAGTTCGCTCAAGATCATAACATGACCTTTTGACTGGCAGTGATTTCAACGCCCACGCGTATAAAACAGACCCAACAGCACCACCGCACCACAGCACCACAGCACCACCGAGGCAGAAAAGCCAAAAAGCAGGCAGGAGGCACCACAACCACAACCACAAGCACTCCGATCTGGCTCTGTGGTCTCTGTATGTTTATGGAAAATGGGTTATGAGATATTTCGCTGGCCTTTATCTTTTGGCCATTTCTATTTTGACCATGGGAAATAAATTCTCTGAGCTCGGGTAGGTTGGTCCCTCCGCTAATCGAATGGACAGACTGAAATCTGGTCGAGGAAAGGACGTTCGTTCTGCATTTTACACCTACGCTAGCCCGAAGGTTCATGATTCCGCTGGCTAACTTGTTGCTCTCTCCGCCCGCACTTCCTTATATGCGGTAATTGAACTTACGCGTGTGGCGATAGTCCACCCTTGATGGAAAATCGATGGACCCCCAAGCCCCAAGGCCCCGTGCTGCCAGTCGAAGGAGTCTTCCTTGTTTTCCTCGCTGTCCTTTTAATTTGTACCAACAAACAGCAAACAGAGTGTGTATTTTGGGAACAGACATCGGGCACGCGATGATAGCCTTAGTTTTTGGGCGCCCCACCGCCCACATAACAAGTTTACACGGCTGCATTAACCCACTGCCAAAAGCGAGTGCAAGGACTGCCCCCACCGAAAACGAAAAAGAAAGGTTAACGCGGACTCAAAGAACTTCGAATACCTTAACTGAATGCTTGGTATAATAACACTACAGGACTGCATATAAGAGTTATGTGAGACTTTTATGATTAAAAATAAATAATAATGATAATATATAAAAACAAACTTCTCACTGAAATTAGAATATTGCAAATAAATATAACAGATTTGTAAAACAAACAAAGCTGTATTTTCTTGGTAAGATTAAAGATAAAAACCGTATTATGATTTTAAAATAATTCTTATTTACAGTCCCTGTAATTTTATAATAACTAATTTATCTTGAATAAAAGACATACCAAAAAAAATCAATAAATTAAACACATTAGAATCCATTGATTTTATTGTAATAAATCCCTTTATAGAAAGTTTAACAAAATTAAAAAAAAATAAAGTTATCTCGGGTTTGAACGGTCAGGTGGTCAAATTATTTGAACAGAACATGTCTTAAAACTTAAAACGAATAAATATAACTTATATATAAGTTCATGGCCAACCTAGAATATTATGTTTAAATGACTTAATGCCAGACACTTTAGCTTTGGTCCAAAATTATTAATATTAAATATTATATTATGAAATAGTAAATAATATTAAAATATAAATAATTTGCAATAAATTCATTTGCAATAAATCCATCCCATTTAAAAATTCAAAATATTGTTTAAGAGTTTCCTTGTTGTTAAACATCTTATTAAATTCACAATACCCCTTTCGAAAGGTACCGAAATTGGCTTTGTTTACTCCTTGAATGGGGCTGGAATGTTGCCAGGACAACCCGCTGGCATTCCAATGCAAAACAAATCGAATTTCGGTTGTCGGTGTTGCGGGTTCGAAGGAATTTCAGTGAGGCTCCTGCACAGCCTTGGTGTGGTGCTTCACCGAGTGCCTAGGAATCCAGCCGACCTTTGATATTTGTGGCCTGTGAAGTGGAAGTGCAATGAACTGACATGATTACGGGACCGGAGGCCAGGCAAACGCACAGGTTGTTGGACTTGAAGAAGCAGCAATGGGCCAAGGAGAGAGGTGTGTTAACTGTGTATATATATAGATGGTTTAGACACCTAATAAATAATTAAATATTTTTGAATAGAGGAAATAGCTCGCATGGATGAGATGTACCATCATCAGCACACCTCGCACCACAAGATTGAACGCACCTCGATTCGCACGTATTACTCCAACTTGGATCTCAGTCAGACCTCGACCTCCAATCAAACTTCCAGTCATTCGCGACGAAACCAGGGTCCGGATATGCAACTGATCCTGCGCCAGCCGGACTATCGAAATGGCAATCAGGCCTACATGAACCAGCTGGAGCGGTACATCGACGACCTGGATGCGGATGCCGATGCGGACTTCGAGGACGAGGACGAGTCCATGTACCGCAGGACCAGGCGCGGCAGCTATGCCCCCGGTATGACGTCCCGCCAGATGCAGAATCCCGCTCGCTACGCGGAACTGGTGCCCACATCCCTGCAAACGGCGAAGGGCAGGATGCAGAATTCGCGACAGGAGGCGCAGCAACACTTGAAGCTGCAGCACCAGCAACTTCTGCTGCAGCAACAGCAGCAACACCATCTCCAGCAGCAACAGCAGCGTCTGCGGAGTCCCAGTTTGCCAGCCATTCGGCAGAGGGTGAGGCACCAGGAAAAGACGGGCAAACCAACTGACATTGATCCCGGCAACGGGCCACATCGATTAAACAATCCTCCGGGCAACCCGACTGGAGTGGGCGGAGGGGCAGGAGCGGGAGCGGGAGGGGGAGTTGGAGTTGGAGTCCAGGGACCTCCGGGTTGCCAGGAGGAAGACACCTCCGGCTATCTGAGCGATACGCCCAAGAATCCCCACACTCCCGACATTTGGTTCAACGACGGTGCGAGCCAAATCGAGAGCATTAGTGGCATGGGCAGTGCCAGTGTCCTGGATGGCGGCGTCGGTGGTGTGGGCGCCGTGGGAGGGGGCGTGGCCGGGTGCAGACGCCTTCGCCGATCGATACAGGCGGGCACGGCAGCTGCACCAATGCCTGCACCGATTCCCATCCCCATGCCACACCAACCACCCCCGGGAAATCCCCTGAGCAAGGCATACACCATCAAGGGACGACGTGTGCCAGGGCAGGGATACGAGCCACTCGCAGCCGATGGATACATGGCCGATGGGTGAGTAACCAAGTGACCCAATCGCACCAAAAACACAGGGGCAAACTGCAATTAAACATGAAACAATTTAACTGGGTAACCAGCTTTATTATTTTTAATAACTTCTGATGAATTGGGTATTTTACTCTGATTTTTACTATCAATATCGGCCCTTGACATTCAAATAATGCATACATGCAGCCCATAAAATATGTTTTTAGTAGGTAAATTCTCATAAATCTAGTATATATTATTTAGTAACATTAAAACCACATTTTAAGTAACCGTAAATTATTATCTGACCTTTACATAAATAATTAAATTTTAATTAATTAATTTAAAAGGCAACTGTATTTATTATTTTCGTTAAATGTCGGACACTTTTAAGCCACATCTTTGACCATGAACATAATATGGATTTCTCATTATAAACAAATATTAATTTACTGAAGTAATTCCAAATGAATTATATCATAAATGACTTTTACAATCAATTCGATTGAATCCATGGTTACAAAGGCTATTGTTTTTAACAAAAAATTAAATTGTCTAGTAAGAGTAGAACATATATATATTTGTTCATCAAAGTTATTAGTAATTGTTCTGATAATTTCTTAGTATTTATGCGTAAAATATTAATTTGCAGTTAAATAAATATTGGACCTTCTTTTATATTTTAAATATATTTTCTTACCTTCATTCAGCTGCTGTTATATGCCCGCACCGCCCAGCTCGTCGAACATGAGCATGAGTCGCGACGTTTCCACCTCGAATACCTACCAGGTGCACATTGGCAATCCGGAGCAGAGTGACTTCTACGTGCACGAGCAGCACGAAAGGGAACGGGCCCGCTGGGCCAACTTCAATGGAGGAGCTGGCCATCAGGCAGCCCAACAGCCACCGGGATGGCTCACCCGAGGGATGCACGATCTCAAGGACAGCGAGGACGATGTGCAGTCTATGCAGTCATCCTCCACCTACTTGAGGGGTCAGAATGCCCCCCTGGATGCCCACACTCTGGCCGAGAGAATGGACAAGAGGCGCAAGGCAGCCGAGTACCACAATGCCATCAAGAAGCAACTCCACGAGAGGGAACTGATCAGGAAGTGGGAACTGGAGCGCCATCGGCAGGAGGAGCAGATGGAGGAGGAGCGCATTCGTAGGCAGAAGCAATTGGAGCAGGAGCGTCTGGAATTCGAGAGGCGGACGCTTATGGAACGCGACGAGGCTCAGCAGAAAAAGCAGCAAGTAATGCTGGATGCCATTCAAAAAGCCGAAGTGGCGGCCAAATTGGAAAAACAAATGAAGCGACTGGGTCGCCAACCCTCCAAAATGTCCCAGGAAACGGAAGGGGATGAGTCCGAGCTACTAAGGGTTCAATCCGTGGAGGAGGAAGAGGAGGCGGCTGAAACTGGAGGGAAGGAACCTTCACCCCAGGAAGAAGAACCCTCCAATACGCCACGAGCTGCCCCTCCAGTTGTCACCGAAGAAAAAGTCCTTATTGGCACACCCATCAACCTTCGACGCACTGTCACAAAGCCCATTAAAATACCCAAGGATTCCAAGAAAGAGGAACCAAAGAGACAGGCCTCCTTCTTGGGAGAAGATAAAGAAAACATGGCTCTGCTGATGCAACCAGCTACCCTCATTCCATTGCCCGTCACCAGCGATATTTTTGGACTCCAAAACGCCATTGGTAACCTACAGATAGCCACATACTTTATGCAGCAGCCCATGCAAAAAGAGCCACAGACACCTGGTTCCTATTCGAAGGCCACGATGACCCATCGCACAGACACCTCGATTTACACCGAGGATGGTTACCAGGCGGAAAAGGAGGAGGAGGAACCTCTGGAGACTGCGAGATCGGGAAGAACGGATCTGGTCACCGCCAGTGGTTGCTTCTCTCCGGATTCCTTGGAGGTGGATGTGGCACCCGTTTCGATACCCGAACAAGACAAACTGGCACTGATACCCCTGAAGACCCCGCTGCAACTGGGCAATCGAAACAGTTCCGAGGAACTGCATCACGAGTTGGGTCACCAGGCGGATGTGGAGACCCAAACGGAGCTGCCCCTCAACTGCGACCTCTGTCTGTTCCACGACAATTTCTACAAAGTTCTGCTCAAGAGGGAGGTCTCCACCACCACCACCACCCAGACGTCCAAGTCTCAGACGCAACCCGCTAAGGAATCCACTGCAGAGAAGGATCATGAGACCACAACTACCACAACCACCACCACAACAACCACGTTCAAGGCCAAGAGCAAGGACAAAGACAAGGACAAGGGTGTGAAGAAGCACCAGGGCAAGGACAAGGATGCCAACAAGATGGACGATCGACCAAAGTGGGGCGTCAATCGGCCGGTGGTCCAGTATGTCAAGGCCAGCGATCGGGATCCGTTCTGCCTGCGAAAGAAGAAAAACCATCCGAGCACGGCCAAGCCACCGAGATCCCTGTCCATGGACTCCCGTTTGGACAGTGTGGCGGCGCTCCCCGAAGATCGGCTCATCAACCTCGTCGGAGGACCTCCCTCTGCAGCGGGTGAACAGGAGGAGGAGGGCTTCATGCTCAAGGCTCGCAATGTCTGCACCGAAATTCTGCCCATCAAGACCGACGACAAGGGACGCATTTTCCTCAACTTCCGCGAGGCCAGCGCCATCATGAACGAGGATGAGATCAAGGACAAGCTGCGTCAGAAGTACTTCAACTTTGGCCGGATCCTGCCCCGCAGAAGTTGGGCCTCGGCCACCCAGCACACCCTGCCCCTGCCCTTCGGCGCGGTCACCACTGCTCCTCCACAGGCCACTTTGGGGGCGGCAGTGGGTGTGGGTGTGGGTGTGGGCGACCTGGCCGACGATTGAACTAAACATATACTAAACTAAATACATAAATGACCAGAAACCTTTTACATTGCATCAACTAGAACGACTGTAAGCCATTTATGAAAAAACCTTTAAATATATTGACATTTGTATTGCAAGCACCTAAATCGGAAATGTTTTTTAGATGTCAGGGGATATGTGAGATTATATTGTATTAAAACAGGTAAACAATAAAGTAATTTCATTATGGTCCTAGAAAAGATTTAATACATTTATTTTTTTTTAAATTTCTTTCTAATAACTTAGATGTTTCACAAATCTTTACGCATTATTAACTCATTAAACATTTTTTTTCTGCAGTGACCGGCCTGCAATTGGCATTGTAATAATTTTCTAATATACCAAAGATAAAAAACGGAAATGTTTTTTATTTTACCACATTTATGTGAAAATAGGAGAGTAATAATTTCGTTATAAAGACCAAGATATTTAATATATATATAATTGTTTTTTCACCGTTTCGAAAAACAGTAAATTGTCTGTGGGTGGAACTTAAAAGAATTTGAATTTTCTACATTAAATGAAATCACCACAAAGAAAAGACACACAAAATCCTAAAATGCTTTTAATGGTGCAATGCCTTGTCCAAACCTAGCTACTAGTTCTAGCGAAATTCTCAGTCCGTGAGAAAGGACTTTTCGATGGTGTTGGCTGGGTGTTTTCGGCTGGCTAGATGCGGATTCCTCGTCAGGCTTTCGGCCAAGTCTATTAGCAACATTGTTGCTGGAGCTTAGCGCTCTGCAAGCCACAAATCACGCAAATGTTGCCACATTGTTCACGGTGAGCTGCTGAGCATTGTGTGGCTGATCTGCGGCCAGATCTGCGGGCATATATATGTACGAATATCTTTTGCTGGGGGTCGGAGTCTGTTACACTTTCACAGAACTCAAAATGTCGTATTTCACGCATTTTTACGAGCGTTCGCGTAAATTTATGCGAAAAATCATAAACAACCTGGGCATAAGTTGCCTTCCAGGTTCATCGAGTCCTCGGCAAAACGCATTTTTATTTGCCTCCAAGGGGCGTTCTTTTCGGTTTCTGCCAGTGTCTTGTGTTTTAGCAAGTGGGCGCTGCATATTTCTGTTAATTAACGCATTTTGTGCGTTGTGTAACTATGGGATATCTTTTGGCAGTGGTCTTTTTGTGATCCAAACTCCACACTTAACAACAATGCAGCCATTGAGGAGTTAATTGCATGTCTCTGCAAGTTCTCTAGCTCCCAAAATCACGGAATCGAAGCCAAGGCGAGGTCGGTCCCCATCACTCCCCCTTTTCCGCCTTCTTTTATTTAACCACCCCACCCCACCAACTACAACAACAAGTTCAATGCCTCGGAATTAAAATTGACCTTAGGTTCTTGGCTACTTAACACACTTGCTACGAGAAGCAAAGTTAATTTTTTTGGGGCGAATGAAAATTTTTAAATTATCTGTAAAATTAAAACTATTGAAAAGTCTCTATTTGAAAAACCAGATTTTATGTAAGATTTGAATTTAAGTTTTATTTATTGTTTATTATTAAATTTTATTGCTAAAGTTAAAAGAATCGAAAACAATTTTTACTTTGCCAGCACTGTGCACTTCTTAATAACACACAGAATAATGCGGTATTCTATATTTATTAGTAGTTGCTATTTCTTGTAACCGCTGAAATACATAAAATATTATATTACTTAAATAAGAGTATAACATGCTCGTTTTTCCCCACATCAGAACTCTTTTCGAATGCTTTTTTGACGTTGGCTAAGGGCAAACAAAGCCAGCCAGCATAATGGCAATAAAAAGTTCTCATTCGTGTTCTAGTTTCGCAGCAACAAGACGGCAAATTGCCTTTGAGTTCGAGTTTTTGGCATGCCATGGTTCGGTGGCCATTGGGCGGAGGGAAAACTTCGGGGTGGTGTGGCCGGAAAAATTGCATTTCCAATGTCACGTGAGGAAAAAAGAGCCAGAGGCGGCAATTGTTTGTGCCGTCACCTTGAACGTATGCCAAAATTAAAGCGACCCCGTGATTAATGATACTTGATTAGGAATTCAAGCCGAGAGATCTGCATTTTTGTCAGCCAGCGTTATTTATTTAGCTAACCCGTTAATGGCGGGACCCTCTTGAACTACAAAACTCTGACATTATTAATGACACTCGATGTGAAGCTGATTTCGAGTGATTCAAATCGATCAAGGGATCTTGGGTCTGTCTACTCTTTTGCATGATTAATGATCGCAAAAAAACAGATCAGCTTTTTGCAACTGTTTTCTAATTGTTATTTTGCCAACAGTCTTGCTGCTGTGACAGTTGCTCAAGATTTTCAAGGAGTTTTCATTTGTCATTTGGCCATTTGGGCCCTTTTGCGGTCACTTGAGGATCATTTGCAGGGCAGCTGCACTTCTTTGCCTCCGTGTTTGTCATTCTTTTGTTTTAATATGCAGACTGCAACTGAATCCAAAAACCGAACAGAATTTGACGGACAGAGCCCACCTGAGGTTGTTCCCGAGCGGAAATCACATCGACAAACACCACATAAACTATAAAAATTGTTTATTTTCGATTCAAGGCATTGCACTGAATCAATGCCCATAAATTTGATTATTCCTCTGCACAATTGTTGTAATGGCTTATGGATAATTTATGAATGCCTCTCACCCGGAATGTGAGCTGAATAATCAAGAAATTTTCCAATTTTTATTGCATTTTTACGCTTTTCTGGTATTTGAACATTTCTAACTTAATTTTATTTAGCTAAACCATATTTATCTGTCCGTTGGTCCTTCTTTTTTAATATTTAAAATACTGTTCAAGGTATAAGTTGAAAAATAAACTAATGTTGGGCTAAGAATTAAACTATTTGTCTACCATTCGATAAACAATTGTCCTATTAAGCAATTAATGTAGTTTAATTAAAAGATACAAATGATTTAACTTAAAAATGTATCTATTAATATCAGTTTGAATATCTCAAGTTTTCCCTTTTCTCTTAACATTTTTTCCGAAGTTATATTTATCCAAACTTCATTTAATGAAGTCAAACAGTTTGCAGGAATCGTAAGCCAATAAAAAAAACGATTCTCTTGCATCTGCGCATTCCCCAAGGACAGCTGAAATATCTCTATTTTTTGTCATGGCCACACTTGATTAATTCCATAAAAGGATTACGAGAGTCGGCCGGTTATTAGATAACGCGACTGATGAAGTCATCAGCGTGTCCGAAATGCTGAGCAGGAAATTGACATTTATCACACTTTCACCTTTTGCTCCTCGCTCAAACGCACTATTTTTTTATTTGCGCACACGACCCGGCTTCCTTCCTATTTTTTTCATTATTTCATTCGGCTGCCAGACAATATCCTGTTCCCATTTCAATTGCGATTGTCTGAGATTGTCGCCTTTGTCCCGGGATTCGTTTCGGGGCCATCATTATCATAATTAATGTGACTTAATCAAGAATAATGTTCGCCGAGGAAACAAACGGAGTATTGCGTCTAATCAAGTTATCCCAGGGAACCCTTTTGAGAAAATAATGCGGTCAACCGCAGTAGTTGGCTGAAAATGAAAGGGTTGAAGGTCAGTTGGGATCCAGGGCCTACTTTGCATACGGGCAATAAAACCGAAGTTTTCTCTGTCAAAGATTTATGTAGCATGCGAAAAGGCATTAACGGAAAAGATACCATTTATATACATTTTTTTTTCAGCCCGACTTGAAGTTGAAGGTTTTAATGTTACGGGTGCCCATATGTCGTTTGATATCTCAACCAGATTTGCTCGTTATGCGTGCATTGTTGTGGTCGTTTTCCTCGTTTTCCTCGGGCTCCCTGGGCGACATTCGCACGAATCGTGTCCTGATCCTTATCGGGACCCGGGGTCCTGCTACCAGGAACTAGTCGTCAATGCCTGGACTACTGTGCACATATATTCGTGTGTCTGTGGGCTGGCTATCGTCCTATCTTCCTATCGTCCTATCGTCGCACATGTTGACACATTAATGTCCTCGATTCGTGCGTGAGGCCACTGGCAGATCCTAATCGGCGTTACTAACTGGAATCGTGTTGAATCTCACAATAGATTGCATTCATTTTGGGGGTTTTGTTTCGTACAATTAGTACTGTTTTTCGGGGTGAGCGCGATTTCGAATGCAATATGCGGGACTTCCTGATCGATGACGATCCAGATAAGTTACAGTTAGGTGTGAAAAAAAATCAAAAGCGATTACTTTTTGTATAGATCTACACTTAAATGAAAAATCTGTAATCTACGGAAATACATAAAGAATTTGCTTTCCCTTACTAGATCTAACAACTATTCACGCTATCTGAAAAATTAAACAATCATGACCAAAATAAAAAAAATAAAATAACAGCAATGTTATAATTTGACGTTGTTTTATTTCTATTGTTCCTATGGGAGTATATGCTATAGTCGTCCGACGGACATGGCTAGATCGACTCTCCTAGTGATACTGATCAAGAATAAATATACTTTATAGGGTGGGAAATGTCTCCTGCACTGCGTTGTAAACTTCTCACTGAAATTATAATAGGGTATAAAAACGTATAAGCTATGTTATATAAATATATACAATAAGTTATGAAAGTCATTTAAGTTCAAAAATTTTTCAATTATTAATATTACCATGTTATTAAGATTGACCCAAAAAATCGTTCAGTGTAAGTTCTGAGTGATCTCCGCTGAAGTCGTGATTGAATTGTATTTATTTCGGACTTTTTCGGGCCTAGAATGTATTTCCAACGGGCGTGGTACAGCTGCTCCCAAAAAGGCATAAACAAATCATAACAATTGCTGGTGGTAGGATCGGTAGGAGCGGTAGGATCCATGTTCCATACAGAGGGACGCTCACACACGGCAGCAATTTATCATCCACTAAACAAGCCAAGAAATGTCGAGGGAGCGGGGAGGAAAGGACTTGCCATTGTTAGGCCAACACTCTTTGTCTTCGTTTTTGGGCTTCTACTTCTGAGTCGAACATAAATTGGAGGTGTGTGCGCCATATAAACATTAAATTTTATTTAGATGAGAGTCGGTTGAGAGGTTTTTTTATGGATGTCCTGATTCCCAACTGTGCCTGATTATTGATTATTCTCCT